TTTTTTTTTTTTTTTTAAGAAGTAAGGGAGGATGTACTTATTTACGAGTTGATAAAACTCTTCTCTCCCTCTTTCTCTCTTTAATTTCCCAATTCTCATCCATTATTACGTAAACATATTTATGCACGAGCAATTAAATGATTCGTCATGTGACCGACAAGATAAATTTCGTTCTCATTTTATACAATTTCCAATAAATTTTCAAATAATCGTAATTCCAATAGAAAACGTTCGTTCATTCAGTTTCCAAATTCGATTTTATCGATTTTAACTATTATCCATCTTCATCTGGAAGTGTCTTCCGTAATTTTGTAAAGCATTACGCTTTGTATCAAACGAACGTTCCCGTTTCTTAAAAAATAGATCCTCCTTTTTGGATCCTGAATGAATATGAGGACGACTAGAAAAAAAACTTCGGACAACATCGACGATCAATCATCGTACATATATATTTTCATACAAATTACTCCGATACAATATACGTGGCGAGAAACCACAATTCTTCCTATTTCTTGATTTAACGAATAGAATAGTTGCCGCGCCCGAGGCTCAAATAGCTTCTTTCTCTTTCACATTTTTCATTCAATATTTCTTTGAGTCAATCATGATCTCACGTTGAATCGTAATTCGATTCAATTCAACGAACGAAAAATTATGAAGATAATGAACGATTTATCGATATAAAATCATGATTTTAATAATTCTATTAAAGCAATCTCGATTTCTGGCCAAGTATGAAAAATCAACGAAAAATATATAGGCAGGCACGACCCACAATCGGGAAACATTTGGAACCATGATGCAAAATAGTCAAGATGTTTTAGATAGAAGACAGTGGAACATTTTTTATTGCCTATTCGTAAATTCGAACGGCTGGATGGAAAGATAGAGATACGTGGTAAGGGTTCATCTCCGAAAGATCGTGTTTTCAACAAGATCATATTACGTTTACGCGTCCATTCTAATGAAATGCTTATTAATCATGAACGGTTTCGCGAAATATCCATTACATATGCAAGAGGGTGATCATTAAAAATATTCAAAGAACGTCACGAGTTATATCACAATAATAATCGTCTGACGCAAGTGATTAATTCTACATTTACTTTTAAACATATTATAAAAAATAAAAAACCGATGAAAATACTATTGTATATTATTGTTATTTGAAGTAAATTAAAGCGAATACTAGATTCGAAATGATGCTTTCCCGATTCTTCTTTTTCGCTTTTCCGATGAGAATAATTTGATGAAAAATAAAAATAGCACCTTTACATCTCTGTATACGTAGAAAATGCATCGGTATTTATTCCCACGATAATCGTAATCTCAAACGATTGAACTTATTGACTTTCCATGCATTTGTATATGCGTCATCGATTTACTAATTCTGATAACTTTGAGAACGATTATTCAGTCTCTATGCATGTGCATACATAGATGTGTTATATGTCATTCACGAGTCGACCTTCGCCTTGCATTAAGACTTCTGAAAACTTCCTTTCTCATTAAATCGTCTTAGAATTATGCGCCAAGTCACAATCCAAGTTTCTGGCTCGATGTTCGATAGAAATGTGAAATTCCTTTTTTTTTTTTTTTTTTTTTTTTTTTTTCTCTCTTTTTGATGATAAAATATTTCTTTATAAATAACTACGATGTATGAAAGACGAATATCTCTATTATTCGAAACGACAACCACAATATTCGAATATAGCAATTACAATGTTTTCAATATGCGTTGATCGTAGTCATTTAAATAAATAGATCGCTCTAGATTAAATCGACGAATCTAATTTCTCCCGAAAATAGCTTTTAACAATGATTACAATGGTAATCGCTAATCACAATAATGAATGATTAAAATATTAATAACGATGGTGAGAATGAAGATGATAATGATAATGTGACGATGAGGATGAGAATGAAGAATAGTAATG